CCAGAGAGCGAGTCCCCCCACATCCCTGGCTGCTTGTGGGGCCTCACTCTTCAAAACCAAGCAGAACTGACGCGTGGGGGGAGGGACTGAGGCAAGGGGGGGCTACCCAGGACACCCGGGTTCTGTTCTCACCCCCTCCATTCTCCTGATATCTCAGCCTGGCACAGAGCTGGTGTGGGGAAGAATGGCAGAATCTGCTGGGCAGCTGCTTCTGAGCTCCAAGGAAATAGGTGCAAGGTGGACCACAAGTCCGACCCCATCTGCTTTTCCGCAATGGGGGGAGGGACTGAGGCAAGGGGGGGCTACCCAGGACACCCGGGTTCTGTTCTCACCCCCTCCATTCTCCTGATATCTCAGCCTGGCACAGAGCTGGTGTGGGGAAGAATGGCAGAATCTGCTGGGCAGCTGCTTCTGAGCTCCAAGGAAATAGGTGCAAGGTGGACCACAAGTCCGACCCCATCTGCTTTTCCGCAATAACCCTGCGAGAGGACGCTGATCAGAGATTAGGGGGCCTCCAGCCATCGGGAGGGGACCAGAAGCGACCCCACACATCCACGTAGGGGATTTACTCTCCTAGCTAATGGGCCTCCTGCAGAGCAGCTCCGGTGAGCAAGGAGCTGCAGAGGCGCTGGACCCACAAAGGTACCTAGGCTCCTACCTGATTCCAGTGCGTCCCAGTAACACTGTGGATCTGGCCCTACTTGCCTAAGGTTTTCCTCAGTTCCCTCATCCCCCCACCCCGCAGAACAGCCTGGCAACATCTTGGGGGAGAGCCAGAGCTTTGTGCATTTTTCCTTTAGTGCTAATCACATGTATGATGGAGCAGCCCTGCCCCTGAAAAAATGAGAAGGCTACAGAGCCAGCATGAACAGTAGCTTCCTCTAGATTGAAGAGCAAAATGCAGGGGTACCAGAATAAATTCCATTGCAAACGGCTAGATGTGGGGCATCGTTACACATTAGAACAGCACTTTCCATCTGCAAAGGGCTTCACAACGGTGAACCAATCAACCTCCCCAGCTGGAGTCTGTCCCGTGGAAGGGCGGGGGCATTAGATCGTACACAGCGTTTCCAGTAGTGGGATGACATGAACAGGTGAATCGCTTGTGTCAGCATGAAATAATTATTGCTTCCAATGCTGTTGGCTTGAAGGGCAGAGCCATCCAGGGCTGAAAGCAAACAGGGGGTGGATCCTCCAGCAGTGGGGGGCAGGTGCTAAAAAAATAAAAGGAAACAGCAGTCACAGAAGGAGGAGAGAGTTGGCAGCACCCCTGGAGGAGTTTAAAGGAGCCTGGGAAGAAGCAACATGTATGTGAGCAGAGAATAAGACAAGGCAGATGTGAGTGGATAGGAATGAAGGAGAAGTGGAAACAGCAGGGGTTGAGGAAATTGCCATTTCCCCAATCAAATGACAGTGTACTGCCGAGTGTGGGCCCATGCACTGCCCGGGGGTCAGATCCTTAGCTGGTGTAAATCAGCATAGCTCCAGCAGGTCCTCCAACGGGGACCGGACCTGCGAGCTTGTACTGACACTGCTCAAAGAAGGTGGGTGTTTTGCATGTTGGTGAGAGAGAGCTGGACTGGGCTGTTGTGGAATTACTCTAGATTTCCATCTGTGGGCTTGAACACCAAATCCAGTCCATTGGATTATTTGCTATTGTTGTTTTTCGCCCCTTGGAACCTTTGCAACCAGTTCTGCAAAAGGAGGAGCATTTTCAGTCTCCATTGTACACCCAAACTGTGCCTTAGCTACAATCATAGAATCATAGAATCATAGAGCTGGAAGAGACCTGAGAAGGTTATCAAGTCTAGCCCCCTGCTCTAGGCAGGACCAATTCCAACTACATGGCATGACGGGTGAACACTTTGGCCTTGTTGAAGTCAGTGGTGTACACCCAAACTGTGCCTTAGCTACATGGCATGACGGGTGAACACTATGGCCCTGTTGAAGTCAGTGCATGTTTTGCCATTTGAAAAAAAGGGGCCAGGATGTCACCAACGCAGCACATATCAGTCCCATCCACATGACAAGCAGTGTTCCCTCTCATTTTTTTCCATTCATGTGCAGAATAAATTTTATGTGCATTGAGGCATGTGTGCACCATCAGTAGAAGAAACACACGCTGCCAGCTGTGGGTGACCTGCTAATCAGCTGGGCAGCATTTAAATCTCTCCTGAGTGGCCCCCAAGTGCTCAGCTTACAGGGAACACGTTGTAAGCAGGGCATAGTCAGAGGTACTGCAGAGATGGGGGCCCATAAAATGAGATAGATGGGGTGCAGGAGGTGGACATAGACAGGAAGGAAATCAGTGTTGTAAGTGAGATTTGTGTCTCCATGTATCAGTGGTGCATTTGTGCCCTGTGTATAATTTTCCATCCACAAAACAGCCAGAAACTTGATGTTTTTAAACTCCAGGAATAGAGCAGGTGCTCAGCCCCTGCTGGAAAAGCGACTGCTGTGGCCCAGGCAGCGATGGAAACAATAACACGCTGGCTGTACAGACACGCTCTTTGCAGCACAGCACGCCTGCGTCCAGGCTGCCAATTTGAAGTCATGGTAACTTCCAGCAAGAGGGCTGATGGCACAGGAGAGAGACGAACAAGGTGCGGCCACTGCACACGCTGGAAAGGAGAACCTGAGAACAGGGATTTCCCGATGAGCTGCCTCAGGGAGGGACATGGGAGCTGGGGAGCGTGAGAAAAGGGAATGACACAACACTTCAGTGAAAAAGAAAATGCTAATAAACCCATGGGGATTAACGTTTTGTGCCGGGCATTTGTGCTCTTCCATTGTGTACTGTGCTTTGATACAGAGGGGAGAAGCGCTACACCCAGAGGATAGCTAGCTATGTTATTTCATTATTATTTGCAGTGATTACACCCCAGGATCCCAGTTCATGGGCCGAGAGCCCACAGTGCCAAGCAGAACAAAAAGATGGGCTCTGCCCCCAAAGAGTTTACAATCAGTGCAAAGGAATGCACCTCGGGAAAACTAATCCCAGCTCCAGATGTCTAATAGTGGATGCTGAAGTAGCTGCTACCACACAAGAAGAGGGACCTGGAGTCACCATGGATAGTTCTCTGGAAACTTCAGCTCAATAAGCAGCAGCCTTCAAAAAGATTATCCAAATAGTAGGATCCACAAAGGAAAGGGGTAGAAATTCAGACAGATAACAACAGACTGTTACCGTATTGTCCCTGGAGCGCCTGCCTCTGGAGCCAGGGGTCTGGTTCTGGTCACAATCTCAGAATGGAGGTAGTGTGGTGGGACTGGAAGAAGAGCAGCAAAGAGGATCACAGCTATAGAATGGCTTTCAGAGAAGGTCAGAATAGAATCATAGAACCATAGAGCTGGAAGAGCCCTTAGAAAGCCATCAAGTCCAGCCCCCTGCTCTAGGCAGGACCAACCCCACCTAAACCACCCCAGCCAGGGCTTTGTCAAGCCAAGACTTAAACACCTCTATGGATGGAGACTCCACTACTTCCCTAAGTAACCCATCCCAGTGCTTCACCACCCTCCTAGTGGAATAGTTTTTCCTAATATCCAACCTGGACCTCTCCCACCGCGACTTGAGACCATTGCTCCTTGTTCTGCCATCTGTCACTACTGTGAGCAGCCTTTCTCCATCCTTCTTCTATGGAACCTCCCTTCAGGAAGTCGAAGGCTGCTATCAAATCCCCCCTTACTCTTTTCTTCTGCACTTCTGCAGACTAAACAGACCCAAATCCCTCAGCCTCTCGTCGTAGGTCATATGCTCCAGCTCCATAATAATTTTGGTTGCCCTCCGCTGGATCCTCTCCAATGCATTCACATTCTTCCTGTAATTGGGGGCCCAGAACTGGACACAATACTCGAGATGTGGCCTCACCAGAGCTGAGTAAAGAGGAATAATCACATCTCTGGATCTGCTGGCAATGCTCCTTTTACTGCAACCTAATATGCCATTAGCCTTCTTGGCTACAAGGGCCCACTGTTGACTCATATCCAGCTTCTCATCCACTGTAATCCCCAGGTCCTTTTCTACAGAACTGCTACTTAGCCAGTGGGTCCCCAGCCTGTAACTATGCTTGGGATTCTTCCGTCCCAAGTGCAGGACTCTGCACTTGTCCTTGTTGAACCTCATCAGATTTCTTGTGGCCCAATCCTCCAATTTGTCTAAGTCACTCTGGACTCTATCCCTTCCCTCCAGCGTATCTACCTCTCCCCCTAGCTTAGTGTCATCCGCAAACTTGCTGAGGGTGCAATCCATCCCCTCATCCAGGTCATTAATAAAGATGCTGAACAAAACCGGTCCCAGAACCGAACCTTGGGGCACTCCGCTAGAAACCAACCGCCATCCTGACATCAAGCCGTTGGTCGCGACCCGCTGGGCCTGACCTAGTAAAAACACTAGGGCTGTAAAAAGAGCAGACTGCAGGGGGATTTAATGGAGGTTTATAATGCCGGAAATGGTTTGAGAAAAGTGTCTGTGTGTGGGGGGGGCTATTATTCACCCTTTGCTTCAATAGGGAACTCAGGGTCACCCAATGAAATTACTAAGCAGCAGGTTTAATACAAACAGGGGGAAGGACTTTCTCAGGACATACTGTCTGTTAACCCGTGGCACTCAGGGCCATGGATGTTAGCCCAGAAGGGTAACTGGGTTAGAAAAGGGTTAACTTTGGGGGTGGAATAGGGCTGTTAATGGCTCTTAGCCAACATGGTCAGGGATGCAGCCCCATTCTGACTGCCAGACGCTGGAGAGGAAGATCGCTCCCCAAAGACAGGAAATTGGGCGACATGGCCTTGGGTCTCAAGTGGGCAACCCTTGCCTTTTAAGAGAGCTGCTGCCAGGAGCCACCCGCGGAGAGCCAGCACTGGGCGAGGGGAGCCAGGGCAGGATTCTCCGTTCACTTGGGCCTGCTGGACTCGGTGCCTGCACCTGAAGTTAGCGCGGGCGGGGCGAGTGTCCTTGGGGCTCCCCCCCCTCCCCGCGCTCGGGCGAGGAGAAAGGGAAGGCGGGGAAGTGCCTGGCTCCTGGCCGGGATACGTGGAGCCAGGGACGGGCTATTTCCACAGGGCCCGGGAAAGGGGCCAATGTATCCCCGCCTCCCGCCCCCGACACAGGGCGCGTCCTGCCCTGACGAGCCGAGCCAGCAGCGCTCTCGCGATTAGTCTCCTTCCCCGTCACACGAGCGGAAGCCTCGGGCTCTGGGCAGCGGGTGAGTGGCCCCTTTTCCGCAAATCCCCTCGCTGGGGAGGGGTGGGGAGCTGCTTTCCAAACCCCACCGCGCAGCGCGG